ATCCCAAAAGTTGGACCCTAGCAAGATCGTGTACTTATCCAGTTAGAAATAAAATAGGGGAGAACATTAGCCATAATACGAGAAATAAAGTATGAAACACACACGCCACAAGAACACAAAGATTTACGTGGTTCCCCCCAAGAGGATTACATCTACGGGTACGGCAAATTGAAATCTATTATACCAATAAAAGTTACATCACAGATTTCGGGATAGAGAGTTACCTTTCTAATATTCAACAAAACCCAATCGGGCAAACCCTTTTAAACCCTCTCTCCCGATTGACATGACTCGCCGATCTTTCATCTCTATTCCACAGCTAAACCAATGTTCATGAAGAGACCTATCGTTATTCCACAGCCTCGACCGTTGTCCAGGAAGAGACTATATCTATTTTAGAGCTAAACCGTTGTCCAAGAAGAGACCATTGAGAGCAACCGAGACTTTTTCTCTCTAAAAGGGGAAACCACACCCAAAATCTTTATAAGAACCGCATCTCTACAAGAAACCGCCATCTTAATCTACAAGAAACACATCCATAATATTTCTCTCCGTAGGAAGCTCTCTTCTCTCTAAAGGGAGACCTCGCCTTTGGAGCATAGGAGACCCAACCTCTCTCTTTAGAGGAATCCATAGGAAACTCTCTTCTCTCTAAGGGGAGACCTTGCCGCTGGAATAGAGGAGAGCCAACCTCTTTCTTTAGATGAATCTGTAGGAAGCTATCTATCTTCTCTCTAAGGGGAGACATTGCCTCTGGAACAGAGGAGACCCAACCTCTCTTTAGATGAAGCTACATTTCCCATATGGTGACCCAAATAGAGCACACAAATTCTCTGTACTTTCATCACACACACACACATATAAGGTTAGAAATCCACATCAAATATGAAACTTCCCATAGAAGTTACATATATCTCAAAACCAAGAGTTCTAATCATTTTGGATTTTTATTTCGTTTAAAAAACTTATCAATATCAATCTCAATCCCACATAATATGAGATTTCCTTAGGTGGGTGATTTTGGATATCACCATATCGAACAATGGCTTGTATGCATCATGAGAGTATGTGTGCTAAAGGAAAAATTAAAAAATGCCTTTCTCCTTGGACCACATCTCAGCTAAGGATGGACATATAAGCCACAATGTTCACGTTCAAGATATGAATCCAAACTAGCTTAACCTCCACTCTCTTTTGACTTCACATTGTTTTCTTTGCTCTATAATGAATTCTCTAATGTTTTCCATTGGCGGTGTTGTCCTTGTTTGGAACGCACAATATTTGTTATGAGTATTATTTTTAAATTTTGTTTTTAAAATAAAAAGTTGAAAATGATTATATGAGCCGATTGGGATGGTTGGCCTGGATTGAAGTTGAAAGAGACGAATGGCTAGATTTGTGTTAATAATTTTTTTTTGAAAATACGGCTGCAATAGACCACAAAATTTACACACACCTAGGTCTCCTCTCCATGCACAATTTTTTTAAAAAATAGAATTGCGCAAAAAATTTAGAATAAATGAGTCCACCGCTCTTGGCCATCCAAATCATCTCTTCTTGTTCAATCCAGGCCATCGGGACTATACTATACCAGAGGCCCATTAGCTTATATGACAATCTTCTATGAAAACAAAAAGAGAGAGAAATCATTGCTAATGTCCCTCTTTTTTCTTTTTTTTGTTTTAATTTTTAAAATCTAAATTTTTCACACAAAATGCCTATACCATTTTCCCCTTGGTTTTTTAAATACCTAAAATACCCTTACTATGGATTTGTTCGGTCCATAGTGTTGGAAAAAGATACAGATTTAAGGAAAATTGTTTCATGCGGGCTGGATCGCATTTTTACATGTTGGCGGTTCAGTAAGTATAAAGCATCCATCTTAAAGATGGACGCAAGTAGGTGCTCTATCTAAAAACAATGGAAACTAACACTCCAAATGCTTTCTTAATAGAATTATTATTTATAGTTTTCAATTTTTATTTATTTTTTCATATTCATGATCTCTATGTTAGAGATTACATGTCTTTAAAAATTCAATCAAAAAATCCATCTCAATAGATTTTTAAGAGACGCCGCATTTCTAAATGTGAGGGCTTGGTCCGCATGCTATTCGCATCCCAGACTTAATAGATCTATAATGGTCCTTACCACTACAAACCTAACGGCCCTGTAGAATGTCCGTTGCAATGCATATTTTAGTGCTTCTTGGAACTCCAGGAATCACCAAAAGACCACTAAAGAAAGTGGTTTGACAGGGCTGCAGATCTAAAAAAAAGAAGTTAAGTCTCACCTCCTAACTTGCAAAAAAATTGCAATTTAAGTATTATAAAACTTTTACATGGATCATCTTGGATTGAACATTATGGTGGTAAAAAAAAAAGATTTCAAACTCTAAATAGTGTATATTGTAATAAATTATCTAGATCGTCCATTTCGCCCAAAAAATAAATGTTCATACCTCCACAAGATCCGTACTATTTTTTCAGTTTCAAATTTTATTGCCAATGATGGAAATTAAATTTAGAGCCATCACGGACATATCTGTCGCTGAAAGTACTTTCTAGACTAGGATTTGAGATGAGAGTTTATTTTGTTTTCAGCCTAGGCCTCATAGGAACCTCATCCTACTACTATGCATTGCTATGGACTAGGTCTATAGCAGCAAGAACCTTTAAAATTTGACATACAAACTTGAGTTCAGCACGACGGAGCAAATGGAAATATGCTCCCATAGGAGCATCAAATCCTTTCACTTCGCCACAAAAGATTGTAATGTGGGCATTGGGACATCCAATTTACTGACTACTCCAACTTGGCCCTGTTTTTCTAGCCCCAAGTGTGGATGGTTTGGGCATCTAATAACCCAACAACCTTCACACCTGTCTTTTTTTATGTAGTCCAAAAGGACCGGCTAGACCATAGTTATCAAGGTCAGTATGACCTGGTGGTCCAGCCAGTTGCATCGTTGACCGTTGCCTTGGCTGTTTGCTCCGCAGTAAAAATAAGGTTAGGTAAAAACTCGTCGAAATCAATATTTGACTGGATTTTGTTAGCTTGAAGTATTGGTTTTGATTAATTCATCCAACAAAGTGGAAGATTCTTTCATAATATTTATATTTTTAAATTATTATTTATTTTTTAATATTTTAAAAATCTTGTCAAACGAGTTCAACCGACCGTTTGATCGGTTTTTATTGGGAGAAAAGTTTATATAGAGCCAAAGCTCTAAACAATCAAATTACAGCCAGCCTCAAAAATTCTATTAGAAGAGGTTGTTTTAATACTCAAATTGATCATCTCAACATCAATATGCGTGGACATGAGAAAAACATGGATTTCAAGTTTTGAAAATAGTGTATTTTGTTATGCATTGGACCATCGAGTTTCAAGATTTCATAGATCTGTCGATCGACACTATTTTTAACGCTTTAAAATTTATAAATAACAATGAAAATATATTTTAAGACTATCATAAAGATTTCCAATATTGAAACCACATTTCTCGACAGCATTTGAAGGTTGGCTCTAATTTGATTGGTTAGAGCCTAGGCTCTATGCAAACGGCACCCTTTTAGGAAACTAAATCCCTTATCAATTCTATGACCTAGTTGAGTCCGAACTACGGACTCTAGACATTATTTGATGACCAAAATGCTTCATTTCTTTCAAAAAAAGCTGTCTAGGCATTGGATGTCTGTACGGCTTCTCTCTTCTAAAAAGTTTACAATCATCCGACCATGGTTGAAAATATATTTTTTAACTTAATTTTATTTATTAAAATAAAATGAAAGTAATTTTTTTCCCTTTTCAACATCACATAAATCGTAAAAGAAGGTTGCGGTATGTTCAAAGCGGAGTCTCTAAACAATCAAAGTAAAGTGTACCTTCAAATAGTATCTAAAAATGTGGTTTTAATATTGGAAATTTTTGTGATAGCCTTAAAATATATTTTTATATCTAATTATAAAATGGGTGCGGTTTGTATAGAGCCGAAGCTTTAAACAATCAAATTAGAACCTACCCTCAAATAGTATCGAAAAATATGGTTTTAGTATTGAAATTTTTTATGATAGCCTAAAAATATATTATCTTTAATTATAAAATTTTAAGATTAAAAAATAGTGTAGATTGAGTGGATCTATGAAAATCTTGAAAATTTTGGCGGTCCAAAAATGCGTTACAACAATATGCACTATTTTTAAACTTGAAATCTATTTTTTTCTTATGTCCATGCATCTTGATGTCTAGATGATCAATTTGATGATATTTGAAGATCAAAACAACCTCTTTTAGTGAATTTTTTGAGGTATACTCTAATTTGATTGTTTAGAGCCTAGGCTCTATATAAACGTTTCCTTTATAAAATTTAAAGCTTTAAAAGTAGTAGAGATAAAGTATATTTATGTAAACTTGAAAATTTTGAAAATTGACGGTCCGAAAATATATTACAAGATATATCATTTTCAAAACTTGAAATCTATTTTTTTTTGGGAAAGGTTTCTATGGTCCCCCTACAGCATAGAAGTTCTATCTTCCTCCTATCTTCCAGCAGACCAAGAGAGTTACTCATCGTTTGATCTTAGATCTGACGTCTCAAAGTATTTTATTTTTAGTTTTTTTATACAAGTTGTATGAATATGAAATTTAGTACGTGCTATCTTCTCGTTGGGGCGTACCTATAAAAAAATATTAAAAATAATTTTTTGATAAAATATAATGATCAAAATACTCCTTGTAACTTTCAAAAGTATTTTGATCATTTTATTTTATTAAAAATATTTGTTTTATCTTTTTTACTAGTACGAGTTTAATTGAAGATTGGAAGTCTAAAATTTGATGTTAAAATAATTTATAAAAAAAATTATAAATAAAATAATGTAAAGAAGTGATATTGTGATTGGGAATAATAGAAAGCTTGCCTTTTTTTTCTTTTTTTTTTTCTCGTATTCATGCCTCTTGATCTCTTTTAGTAAAATTTTAAGAACCTTTCCCACCACGAAATCCCCAATGTCCAAATACCAACATTGGTCTCTGGCGGCGATGGGTGCAATAATTAAGGCCCAATGTCACTGTGAGAGAGGGAGAAACTCATTTCAGGGAAAAGAGTAAAGAGTTTGAGAGAGAGATGGGAGAGGTCGTAAGAAGAGCAGAGGAGCTGGTTCAAAGGATCATGCGGGGTTGGGACGCCTCACACGATGCATTCCACGCTTTTAGAGTGAGAAACCTTGCTCTCTCACTAGCATTACAAGAGAACTTGACATCTCCGGACACACTTGAGATAGTAACTCCAATCCACCACCTTCTCATTTCCAGTCCTTGTTTCTCTCTCTGGGATTTCCATCCCCATGTAGTAGATTATCCACTCCCTGTGTTGTTTATTGCCTGCAGATCGAGCTTGCTGCTCTGCTTCATGACATAGGTGGACTTCTCGCTCTTCCTCTCTCTCTCTCTCAATTGAAAATGGTTGTTTATTTTGGAATTGTTTCATTCTTTTGTGAGCTTAATTAGAGGTTTCGTTGATTCATTGGGTTTGCAGGGGACTACAAATATGTGAGGTGGGTGATTTTCTTTATGATCGTTCTTTTTTTTTTTTTGCTGTTTTCTTGTTTGGGAAATTGTTTTGGGTTTTCTCATTTGATGTTTAGGGATGCTTCTGATGAGAAGATGGTAGAGAGATTTCTGGAGGAGAATGGGGTTGATGATTGGAAGAGGGAAAAGATAGTGGGCATCATAGATGCCATGGGTGAGCATTTACCTTCGTGAAATTTTGGTTTTGAAGCTAAAGATTGAAAAGTAATAATTGCTAGTTTTGTGTTTGTTTTTATGCTTTCCCATATTGCCATGCATGATCAAAGGAAGCAGAAATGGTTCTCCATTTTCATCCTCTTATTTAAAATTATATGCTTAAAAGAAAAACAATAATCTTTTCATTGTGTGTGTGTGTGTGTGTGTGTGTGAGAGAGAGAGAGAGAGAGAGAGAGAGAGAGAGAGAGAGAGAGAGAGAGAGAGACTCTCTATATATAATAATAATTAAGTTAGTAGTAGTACGTACGTACGTAACGTAACGAACGAACGAACGAACGACCGTACTACCTTACGTTACGT